ACTTTTCCCACTGACCTTCTAAGTTGTCTTTGGCCTTTGTGGGTTGAGAAGTCTAGAAACCGCCACAGATGCCCTATGATGCCTGCTCCAGGTTTGCTGCGGCCTGCGCGCCCACACTGAACTGCGCTCCTCTTCCTGCCCAGTGCGATATACCTTTCCGATCAGCCGTCTAGGTTGTCTTCAGCTGGAAATTTGTTTTACTCTGTTTTTTTGTGGGTTCTGCTGCTTTAGAATTTGTTTAGAGTCATTTTTTATAGGTATTTGGAGGGGTTTGAGGGAGAGCTCAAGCAAGTCACTGCTTTCCCTCCGCCATCTTGGCTGTGCCCCAACCTTCCCTAATTTTGACAGCCCTCATTGACTTCTCTCTCTGAAGTCCTATAGTACTCTTAGTTTCCATGAAACAATTAAGCATTCGATTACTATCTTGTAGTGTATACTCCCAAGTTTTTAATGTGTGCTAGTTTTGTGTCTTCTAGATTATAAGCTGCTTGAGTGCACAGGGCTGTTTTATGTTTATTCCATATTCTCTACATTGCTTAAGCAAATAGGAGGGACGCCATGAATATTTATTTATTGCTTGCTTGTATGGGGACCACCAAGATATAGAACTTCAGAGTTAAAAAAGAGTACTTCAATAATGGTAATGGCATAATAGCCTTAAGGAAGTGATTAATATGCATAGACTCTTGGTGAAAAAAGGAATGGAGTGGTTAGTTTTGAGCTAAGGTCCTTCCATTTATCAGTCTCTTTATTATATTCTTCAGGGCTGGGACAAGGATACAATAGTGTTAAGGATACAATAGTGAGGAAATCTCCAGACTTAATTCCTTTTGTAAAGGCCCATTGCATTTGGTAATCTTATGTTTTAGGTTATCTACTTTTGGAAATTCAGGAAGCTCACACCTTGACTATCCCAAAGATTCTGATTTGATGGAAGCATTTCACTGTAATCAGACCCAAACTAACAGGTCAGTTTTTAATATGCAACCTGCCATAGCCTATACTGTTGGCAATGATGGTAAAAAAAAAATTTTAAGATGTTGTTGGGAGAGAGAGTTTGGGAGGGTGGTTAATTTAGTAGAACCTTATTTTGATTTGTAACAAAAAATGTAAATAACTTTTTTAAAGTACATTTTTAAACACTAAAAATAACTGCCATTTTAAAAAAGTCTGTTTTGGTATTTTGGCAGCATTATGTGGGTGAGGTAAAGGTAATAGTTAATATCTAATTAAGTAAATTTCCTAAGTATATTAATATTTTATTAGCTTTTGTTTAGTTCTTTATTTGGAGTTAAAAAACAATTTTGTCATGTTCAAATAAGTAAATGGTATTTTTCTTATTTTTCTGTAGATACAAGATTTCTTTGCTGAAACCATCTACAAAAGCTTTAGCCCTATCTTGTAAGGTGTCTATTCGCACTGATAACCGGGGATTCCTCTCTTTACAGTATATGATTAAGAATGAAGATGGACAGATATGTTTTGTGGAATATTATTGTTGCCCTGATGAGGATGTTAGTGATTCAGAGCCCTGAGGAATAATGTCTGCCCATCTCCTTTCTCACACACAGGATAGGCTGTGTTCTTGCTCTCCTTTGTCCAGTACTGCTGGTAACTTATTGTGGGACTTTCCCAAGGACAAGACAAGAATTTAGCATCGGGAAATTGATAACAAGTGGCAGAGCAGTGCACCTTATAGATACATTATTTTTCCATCAAGTTACGTTTTCAAATAGCTATCAGTATTCTGTTACTCTTCTGAATGTTACCTGTTTGAGTTCATGGGAGTATAAATAATGATAAAATTGATGAATAAATTGTGAACATTGATTTTTCAAAATTGGAACCTTTGGAAAATCCAGAATGTGAAGGGTAAATATTACCACTTCTGAAATGTTCCATTTACTATTGCAGTTGGCAAATTCATGTTTATGACAAGTCCATTCATCCAAGATTAATTTGAATTGGATAAGATACTTTTTAAGGGATACTCTACATATTTCAAAATAATATAAATTAGGGAGGCACTTGTTTACATGAGTTTGTCATGGATGGAACTGTAATATCTGTGGGGGTTGAGAATGAGAATTAGCAAAAAAAAAAAGTCTTTATAAAAATTCGATGAACAAGCTAGAATGTTATTTTTAAAAAACACATTTTTACTGGTATCCCTTGTTTCACCTCCATTTCCTACTGTATCTCCCTTCACCCTCATCCAGAGAGCTGCCATTATACTAAAGAAGAAAAAAATTCAGCAAAACTAACCAACATATTGAAAGGGAGATACATGTAGCACTCTATACCCATGTACCCCACCTCTGCAAAGAAGCAGGAGAAGGTATTTTCATATTGTATTTGGAGCCATCTCAGTCATTATAATTAGTAGTATTCGGTTTCAGTTGTTCTGCTGCTGTCATACAACATGAGTTTAAGACTTATGACTTTCTTCATAATATCCTAACTTCCCAATTCAATTTAAAAATATTCACTGAGTGCCTCTCATGTGCTTAGCATTGCCTCTACTTAAACTGAGGTGAGGAAAACAAAATGCATGCCAGCTTCTGTAATTTTCTGCGAGAGGCAGCGTGGCACAGCAGAAAGAGTGCTGGATTTGGAGTTAGGAGACTTGGGTTTGAATCCAGAGCCTCAAATACTGAGCTGTGACCCAAGTCAAGTCCTTTCCATTTTCAGAGCCTGTTTCCTCATCTGTAAAATGGAGGTGAAAAAATATTTGTACTTTTTCTCCCAAGGTAGTTTTGAGAAAAATGCATTACAAACTTTAGTTATACCCTAGAGTCTTTATTCACTAAATATTTTTGTTACAGCTATTTTATATATTTTAAATAAAATAATATAAAACTAAATTTATATGACTAGTTTTTATAGAAAATAAAACTGGAGAGGTTGCCTTCTGTGACGTCTGTATAAAATACAGCATATGTTGAGGTGAATGAGTGGGTTTAATATTGTTGAGCTATATTTTTGATGAACAAAACACTAAGAACAGAACAGAAAAAAAATAAGATTCGTTTCCCAGTTGATAAATGGTCAAAGGATATAAACAGCCAGTTTTCAGAAGAAAAAATCAAAGCTATCTATAGTCACGTGAAAAAAAAATGCTCCAAATCACTATTGATTAGAGAAATGCAAATTAAAATAATTCTGAGGTACA